CCCGGTGCACACGATAACATCCTTGCCAACTCTGTTTTACAACTGATCATTTTTTTTTTCTATTTTGGGTATTCTGATTTGTATGTATTCAATTTTTGAGGTTATTTTTTGAAGTTTGTTTTTCCTATCTCCCTGTGTATACATTCTATATTTATATCATTTGCCCACTTATGCATTTCAGAAAAAGTGAGGATTTTTACTGAAGAAAACTAATAAGCCCTTTCCTAATACATTACATATGTTTCTTCATTTAAAATTTTCCTGTTAGCTTTGTTTTGTTAGATTTTATTATACAGATGTTTGAACTCTATATGATGCCCTTTGTTTTGATTATTGGAAACTCTATTGTTGTTAGAAAAAATTGTTAGAAAATAGTCATTGGGATGCTTTATGACCAATTGCTTTATTTTTAAAAAATTATTTAATTTTGGTTGTGCTAGGTCTTCATTGCTGGGTGAGGGCTTTCTCTAGTTGCAGTGAGCGGGGGCTCTTCTTCATTGTGGTGCTCCAGCTTCTTACTGAAGTGGTTTCTTGTTATGGAGCACAGGCTCTCGGAGTGCAGGCTTCAGTAGTTGCAGCTCTCGGACTCTAGAGCACAGGCTCAGTAGTTGAGGTGCACTGGCTCAGTCACCCCACAGCATGTGGAACCTCCCTGGACCAGAAATCAAACCTGTGTTTCCTACACTGGCAGGTGGATTCTTAACCACTGAACCACCAGGCAAGTCCCCAATTGCTTTGTTTTTGAAAAATAATGAACACTTCATCCATCTTGTTTGTTCGTTCTTTTTAAACTAAAAGTGGACTTTCTCTTTACTGAGACAATTTCAGCTCCATGCTGCAGAAGTACCTTAGCCAGTAAAGGGCCACTCCCATCCTGGGGTGGGCTGCATTCCTTTTTGCTGATTTTGATTTCTACTTAAAATCCTATTAAAAAAAATATTGGTAACATACACGTGCACACACATATACACAAAACATGAGAACAGACACCATGTAAAATAACAAAATTTACTTGTGGGTCAGCTTTAGTCTAAGAACTGTCAGGCTGTATCTTTAATCTACACAGCTTTTATCACTCTGGTGTCCTTTCAATGCTACAGGTTTTCACTATGAATCAGCTGATGCTTGAAAGCTGACACATGGTTTGTTGCTGTTTACACAATCACTAGCCAGTGGGACAACTACAGCAGCCAACACAAAAGGAGAGGCATCCAGTTCTGATTCTAAGTCTAGCAACCTCTTTTTTAAAAAATTTTTTGGCTGTGCTGTGTGGCATGCAGGATCTTAGTTCACCGACCAGGGATAGAAATGCTCCCTGCAATGGAAGTGTGGAGTCTTAACCACTGGACTGCCAGGAAAATCCCAACCTGACTCCTTTTTCAGCATGCCACCTTGTCGTACAAACACCCAAGCGTCTCCCTTTTCAAAGCATGGGAAATAGAAAAACACAATAGCCAGATTCACGCCACACTTTAAATCCTAACAGAGAAAATCAATAGCATAAGTGAAGAATGGGATTTGTAATGAAAAAAATTCCTGAAGATTTTTCCTTGAAGATTCCTTTACAGCAATATAGAGAATAAATCAACTATGTTTAGGCCATATTTTACCCCCTACATTTAAAAAAAAAATTGTCTAGTTGATTTGAGGATTGCAACATATGGTAGAGAGCAGACACAATCCATTAATATAGGATTCACAACAACATATTGTTACTGATGTCTGCAGCGTCAAAGCATATTGGTTGCTGTTACTAGTTTAATTTAAATGCTGTCACTTATTTCTCAAGATGAGATGAAGGTGGAAGATGATCTAAGATTGCCTTGCCTAATATTTTTAATTTTTTGCAACGCATAGAACCAAGGAGGTAGGAGCTTCTGTCTCCTTGACAAACAATTATCTTTTTGTAGAAATTGAAGCTTGGTTTGATTACCTTAGTAGTAAGGCTAGTAGGAATAATTTGAGGCAGGTAAACATAGAAACCATAAAAATAGGAGGCAGTGCAGGGAGCTCACCATTTGTGGTCAGAGAGCATGGTTCAAGTCCTTGCTTTGCCACTTACCAGCTGGAAACCTTGGGGTAGCTTCTAGATCACTCTGTAGCATCCTCTGTAAAACTGAGATAAAGGCACCCACCCCACAGTGTTGTTACAATGATTAAATGGTATAACACACGTAACAGGGGCTAGAAGAGTTGTTCAATAAGCATCAACTACTATTATCACTCCAAGGAACTGTACAGAATGAGATTTGTTGGCAACTTGGCAATTAACAGAGAAGAATCAAAGCATTCTAATTTGGAAGTAAATGTAATCTTTCTTCCCAAATATTCATACAATCAGATCTTTCCAGTTGCTGAGGCTAAAACAGGTGCACAGTTTAAGGTCACTGCCACAAAGCCTTGGGTAACTATTGGGTTGTCCAAAAAGTTCCTTCAGATTTTTCCTAAGACATCAGTGGGAAAAACCCAAACAAACATTTTGGCCAACCCAATACATTAGGTAGACTGATTGAGCAATTAACTTGTGAATTCCAGCCACTCCAGAAGTTGAAATTTTTTTCCTTTTCTGGTTACATTTGAATATGTAATCCAACATGTTTCAAACCCTAGGTCCTAATTTTAAACCGTACTTCAGTGTACACATTGCAGAACATCCAAATAATGTCCGTCTTTCAGAAGTCCTCTTGGCTGGCATTACACAAGCTCACTTTTCTCATGGAAGGTTTCTTCCACAAAGTCAAATAGATTGGACTAGAATGAGTCCCTCTCTCTCTCTTAAATTCTCAGTCAAGAAGTCTGTTGCTGGGGACTTCCCTGGTGGTCCAGTGGTTAAGAATCTGCCTTGCAATGTAAGGGACATAGGTTTGATCCCTGGTCAGGGAACTAAGATCCCACATATCACAGAGCAACTAAGCTGTTGTGCCCCAACTAAGACCTGATGCAGTCAACTAAATAAATAAAAATTAAAGAAGAAGAAGACGCAGCTTGTAGGGTGGAGAGGACCTTAACATTGTTTCCTTTCTGGATTAGGAATACACAAATGTCCTGCTAATCTGAGAGTAGGTGTGGCTAAGTACCAAGTAAGGGTTCAAAAGAAACCCAGAGGCCTCCTTTTCCCTTATATTCTGATTGAGTAAAAGAGGACGAAAGGACATGGACAGTGAACGTGCTGTGCGCTAGCAGTTAACATGTTTTATTTTTTGGAATTCTCAGAATAACCTGGGGATGGAACCTCATTTTAAGCAGGAGAAATGACAGAGAGAGGTTAAGTAAGTGCTCGGGCGCACACAGCTAATAACAAGTGACTGTGATAAAAACCCAGTTGTAACTGAATCCAAACTCAGGTGTGTCTGAGTCTTTGCACTATGTCACCTTGAAATGGGGGTAAGACTCATATAACTACAGGATTGGGAACATTTACTGATTATTAATACATTCATTTATTTTTAGGACTGCAGAGGAAATCAAGGGGCAGGCACATCTATTCTGTGTGGCTCATAAGTAATTTATAAAATAAAAAGAATGGCATAGTGCCTTGGTTGGGTGCTCTGACAGTAATAAAATTTGGGGGTTTATTTGTCCTACTTTTGGGAGGAGCAAGACTAGCTACCAGCCTTGTCAAAATATAAGGATAATAAATCTAGAAGAAGATCTTCCTTGTCCTGGAAAAAAAAAAATCACCTGGGGTTTTTACCTTGGCTAAGTACATTGTCCTGCGAACTGATAGTATTAAGTGGGACACAGAAAGCTGGTAAAATCTAGGGTACAAGGAATAGTGTACTTACTGGTACACTGGCTCTCCAAAACAAGCAAAACAAAAACAACTACAACTTTTTGCTCTTTTTCGTGAGTTCTTACTACTCCCACCATGGCTGATCTGAAGCTATCGACATGACATCACTGAACATGGAATTGGGGAGGGAAGTGCACACTTTCACTCTCACCCAGTAAGAACAGCTCCAGCACACCTCTTGGCTGCAGGTTTATTAGGGTGTGGGGGACTCTGGGCTGACTGTTACATTAGAGTCAAGGCTTCCCCCAGTGAGAGAGCTATCAACTTCCCTGCCAGGTCCAGGTCAGACTTAAAAAAAAGTTTTGTTAGTGTGGACAGCATCCACTCCTGCTGCAGAGGCATACGTGTTCATCTCTGCATCTTTTGAAAGCCAGGAGCAATACTACTTCCACACCCTGGGGAGAGGCCACTGCAGCTGGAATCATCACCACTTCTGCCAGTGGGAAGAAGGACTCTGAGTGTGGCCCATTCTTTCCCACTGGGTATTAGAGGTGAGAGAGCTTCCCACGAAGGGTTTCCCTGGTGGCTCAGTAGTAAAGAATCTGCCTGCAATGCAAGTGACCCAGGAGATGTGGGTTCAATCTCTGACTCAGGAAGATCCCCTGGAGGATGACAATGGCAACCCACTCCAGTATTCTTGCCTGGAGAATCCCATGGACGGAGGAGCCTGGTGGGCTACAGTCTATAGGGTATCAAAGAGACGGACATGACTGAAGCAACTGAGCAAGCATGCATGCGTGAGCTTCCCAGGCAGTTCTCTGTCCTGTTTGTGTGGAAGCCCCATTAACTGAACTTAATACTGGGGTGGAGAGTGAAGACTGAAAAGCCACCTCTACTGAGACTGATAGACTGGGGATTTTGTCTTAGCCTTTCTTACAAGGTCTCTGAGTTTCTGCCCAAACACAAACTGTAAAGGAGCTGGAGCAGTGAGACAGGTGGAACCCAGCTGGATTCTTAGCCCATAGGACTTGCTCCGGGATTCCTGGATGTACCGTGGGGAGTGGTCTGTGGCTTTCAAAAGGGAAAGATGGGCTTTTGTTGTCCAGAGAGAGGTGATTAAAAGATGGTCAGCCAAGAGAAATAGATTCATCCCTATTGCTACAATAAGTAATTATCTGTTAAAAGATGCTTGAACACCACAAGTAAATGAAGATAGTTCACCTAGCACCTTTTGGGAATTTTTCCCCACATATAAAACCATGAGAAGTAAAGGAAAAGATGTGTATTATCTTATTTTTGAACTTTAAAAGTTCCCTTCACTCTTTGGAGTTTGGTTTCTGAATCAAAACAAAGAAAAAAAAAACATTCATAAAAGCTGTTTCCTTTTCTTTTCCCTCCATGCTCCTTCATCATGTTCTCCCCAACTCAGGGCATTATCCTGAATCACTGAGAGCAGAAGAGTTAGTAACACTGAGGTAGGTGGTCAAGAGGCTGGAAGATCTTGCTTCAGTAAGAGAGACACTTTCCAGTAGGTCAGAGATGGCAGTTACTGGCCTCTTGGGCAGATCTTTAAAGAGACAGAGAAGAAACAAAAAGTTGTTGTTGAGTGGCAACCTTCTAAAACTCACACAACTGTCACCAAGTGCTTGTGGACCTCCAGGCTTCTGACCACAGCACTGAATTCCTGGAAGGAGATTTTCACGTCCCCATCCTTGTCCAGGAGGATGATGGTTTTGTCCACCAGCTGCTGTAACTTCCAGTCTTTCAGGCCGCCCCCCACCATCATCTTCAGCACCTGGAAGAGCTCCCCGCTGGAAATGTAGCCGTCTTTGTCCAGGTCGTAGATGCTGAAAGCAAACCTCAGCTTCTGCTGCTCATCTCCCCGGACGCTGAACTGGGAGGTCCCCAGGATGAATTCCCGGAAGTCCACCTGTGCGTCGCCGTCGGTGTCGAAGCCGTCGATCACCCACTGCACCAGCGGGTTCTCCCGCAGCTCCGGCATGGACGTGAACTCTTCGACGCTCAGAGTCCGGAACTGTCCAAGTCCAGCTTCTTAAACCGCTTGCCCAGCCTTTTAATTTCGTCTTCGTCAAAGTGCGAGCATATCTCTGCCGGGTAACTGGCCTCATTTCCCATTCTGGAGCGTCTGTTGCTCCTAAGGTCGAGGGCGGGAGCAGGGGCGGTGGGCGCCCACGGGGCTAAAGAGAGACCGTTGTGCCCGCAGGTGGAGGGCCAGGTGGGGCAGGCTCGCGGGGACATCTCCTCCCCCGACCCCCGCCCGCCCTCACGCCCTCCCCCTCCCTCCGCTTCGGGCAACCAAATCGGAGGTGCTGGGAGCCAGGTGGATGAGTGGGTGAGGGGGGAGCAGGGGAAAGGGGTGGAAGGGGGAAGCTTGCAGGGGGTAAGACAGGAAGATGAGTAGGAGAGAGGGGAGCTGGGGGAGAAGTCCCCTTTCTGAATCCTTCTCTCAGCACCTTAACCCTTATCTCTCTTGCTATTTTTAAAATCTTCTCACGTCCTCACTTTTCCTTCTTCTCTTGAAAAGTGAACTCCAAGGGTGTGGGGCTGCCTCTGTATTAATCACTTCGGTATCCCCAGCACAGTGCCTGAAATGCAGTACGTGTTTAACATATGTTGAATGACTGCGTAAACTGCAAGCAGGGGCTCCTAATGCTTATTTGCAGACCTCCTCTAAGGACTAAATGAGATAATACATCAAAGTGTTGGTGTCATATATACATCAACAGTTGATCCTTGAACAACATGGGTTTCAACCGTGTGGGTCCACTTATATGCAGATATTTTTTGATAGTAAATACTACAGTACTGCAGGGTTGGCGTTGGTTGAATCCTCTGATGCAGAACCATGGATACTGAGAAAGGATACCCAGGGCTGACTATAAAGTTGAGGATTTTTCCATTGAGCAGATGGTTGGCACCCCTAAACCCCCTGGCACTATTCTAGGGTCAAGTGTTTTTTTTTAATTCTCTGGGAGGGAAAACCAGGATTGACATCCTTCTGATGCAGTGGCCTTTTTTAGAACATTGGGTTCAGGGTCTTTGTAAGAGATTGTCCAGATGTCGCACAAAATTTCTCATATGGATCATCTACAGGCAGTAACATATTCCTGAGGAATATACACAATGCTGAATTCAGGGCACTTTTTGGGAAGATACAGGTCCCAAGACCTTGGGCCCCAAGATCTCTGTCAGCTTATTATTTCAAATACATCATCTCAAACCCATTCCTTATTTTTGTTGGGCTAGTGCCTGATGACTGTCCTGCAGATCACTTTGGGGAATGGCCGTAATGTGCCCTGAGAAGCTTTTGCTGTGTTTTGAGATTATAAGTGGCCCTTAGGCTGTCTCACTGTTTCCCACCTTGCTTCAGCTGGGTTTGTTCCTATTAATGATGAATCTGACCGCCATTCCCCAGATTCCTTCTTCCTTTAGGAACACATCAGTTCCTCCAAGTGCATACAAAGTATTAATACATTTGGTTCCAGAATATTCAATTTAAAGTGGCTTGGGGGACTCCTAGGACCCTAAATCAAACTGGAAGAGGCAAACACTCCCTCATTTTAAAAAAGTTGGCACCTTTTCTGTGCTTTATTTTTGCCCATTTCTTTCTGTTTATTTTTTTTTTTAATTTTTATTAGTTGGAGGCAAAAACCACTACAATATTGTAAAGTAATTAGCCTTTTCTGTGCTTTAGTTCAGCCAAAATATCAGCCTGAAGGTAGTCATGCTGAAACTGGCACAACAAAGCCATTGAATACCTTACCATGAGGTCTACGCAGTTTAAAAGAAAAGGAGGGGTTTCTCTGGTGGTCCAGTGGCTAAGACTCCACGCTCCCAAAGCAGGGGGCCAAGGCTGGATCCCAACCTGGCCTGCTGCAGTCAATGAATGCAAACAATCAGACACGTCTTAGTGACTGAACAACAATAACAACTCTTCCCAGGAGCGTTCATCTAGGCCTGGCTGAAGAGGCAGGTCTCAGGGCCAGGGCCCCAGACCTGCCCAGCTGTCCTCACTGAGGGAGCTAGATCCTACGTGCTGCAACTAAAGATCCTGCATGATGCAAGGAAGACTGAAGATCCTGCCTGCCACAACTAAGACCCAGTGCAGCCAAATAAATAAAATAATAGTAATAAAAAAGAAAAGTAAAGGTTTAGAGGCTAAAATGTTTGATGACTGAATTATTATCTGGACTGAATTAACTAGATCTGACAGAAGCATGGTTGAGCGGAAAGAATTTAGAGCAGTGTGTTAGGGGCGGGGCAGGCGCACAGCCGGGTGTTAGCGTGAGATCACGACCTTCATCGCGAGACCTTTAACCAGAGACCATTAGCGCCTCAGCGGTGGTGGTGAGAGATCCCGCCTGGCCAACAATCAGCTGGACCGAGGTCCTTGTGTCTGTGAGTGTGGTGAGAGGCGGATTGTGGCCTTCTCCCAAGGGCACTCCAGGCCTTCTGGTCTCAGGCCGCCAGGTGAGCTGGGGGCCCGGGGACAGGCTGAGCGCTGTGTCCTGCAGAGCTCTCGCTATGGCCGCCCACTGGGTGGGTCCAGGCCTTGAAGTGGTGGGGAACCTCTGCCCCATCCTCTGCGACCTAATGGCGGCAAGCGGTCATCCTGGGTCACAGTGCTTGGGACGTGTCCTCGGTTTGGGGAGACTGAGGAGCCTGAGGTCTGGCTGTGTCCTGTGCGCCTGGCTCCCTCAGTGATGACAGCTGGGCAGGGTCTGGGGCCCTGGCCCTGAGAGCACCGCCAGCTGAGACCTGCCTCTTCAGCGGGGCCTCAGCACTGCAGGAAGGACCCGGACCACGTGGATCGAATGCTCCTGGGCAGGGCTCTTATTGTTGTTAAGTCACCAAATTGTGTTCCACTTTGTGTGACCCCATGGACTGCAGCACGCCAGGCTGGGCAGGGTACTGGCCTGAAAATGGACTTCGCCAGGGCTGGACCCTGAAGGATGAAAGTCAAGCCTTGGGACCTTGAACAAGTAAGATGAGGGGCAACAATGTTGCTTTGCCTGCAGCATTTAAGTGTTCAAAGCCACAAGCAGGCAAGCAGACAGAATTAAATGCCTCCCTTTCCCTTTCTTGTCAGAACAGAGAGTAACATGTGCTTTGGTGGAAGTTTACAGGAGCATCTTGACCTGAAGAACAAAGGATCTGACCCCAAGAAGTTTGCAACAACTAATCACGTCCCTCCTTCACTTTTCCTATGAGAGGGCTTTGCTGAAAACTTTCAGGGAGTTTGGGGGTTTTAAGGCTTGAGTCACCTTGTCTCCTTGCTTGGCCTTGCAGTTAACCTTTCTCTGCTCCAAACTCTGACCTTTTGGTATTGTTTGGCCTCACTCTGCATGAGGCAAACAGACTTGTGTTTGGTAAAATAGGACAATTGAATATTAACAGTCCATTTAATAGCCGTAAGTAGCTTGGACGAGTTGCTTAATGTCAGTTTTCCCAATTGTAAAATGAGGCTAATAATGTATTTCATACAGTTGTATGAGTATTAAAGCTGTTACTAGCCAATAAGATAAACAATCATTGTTATCGTTATTATTACTAATTTTGTTATTGATTACCCTGCTGGTGGAGATAAAGGCTTAAAGAAAGCATACTTGGAAGGCTGAGCACTTAAGTGTATATATGTCCATTTGATGAACACTCCTTGTATACCGTGTACACTATGCCACTTGCTACTCTCAGTACTTTGCCAGCATTAACTTCAGCTCCTCCCGAGTAGTGTTCTTTGGTGGCTGATGGCAGACTTTCCATTGCAGGCAAGCAGTGATGAACCTCACTCGTACTCCTATGGAGTGAGTCCTCACGGCTTTGTCCTGAGTAATGTTCTGAAGGTCATTCTTTAGGAAGGAGTCATTAGTGTGGAAACTCTTAAGTAAGTATCTTCCTCTATGTGGTGTGTTATTAGGAGGTAGCGAGGTGCAGTGGTGAGAGCATAGGAATTAAATAGACCAGGTTCCAGTCCCGGCTCTGCTCCATTAGCTGTGAGCTATTAGAGGAGCTGTTACTGTCCTAGCCTCAGTGTCCTCATCTGTAAAGTGGTAATAATCATCATCTGCTTTATCTATTCTCTTGTGGCTTAGGTGGTAAAGAATCTGCTCGCAATGCTGGAGACCTGGGTTCGATCCCTGGGTTGGGAAGATCCCCTGGAGAAGGGAAAGGCTACTCACTTAAGTATTCTGGCCTGGAGAACTCCATGGACTGTATAGTTCGTGGGGTCACAAAGAGTCGGACTTGACTAAATGACTTTCACATTCACAGTCACTTATCTATTCTAAGAGTGAGAAGAGGGATTACATATAGAAATGTTATATAAAAGGAGAAATATTGTCCCAAGAGTTAACTAATTTAATGGTCAAACAGACAATACCAGGAAGATGGTACTACTTCCTTGAAATAATTCAGTGAGCAGTTGGAACTGCTTTACTGCCTTGTAGAGGAGGTAATGTGATGCTGGATCTGTAATTTTAGTCATTGTAAAGTTGAGTTTCCCATTGTTCCACATTTCATAAACTTTGTAGTTCAGCATTATTATGGGACTTAGTGTTATTGTTTCAATATTCTCCAGCCATTATTCTTAGTCATTTCCATGAAAAATGCTATTTGTCACTCTCTTTATCACTAAGAAGGGATGTGGATTGCTGGACATTCACTACAGTAAGCATGTTAAAAGGACTGACTCGTTGTTCTGGAAGAAATTAGGATCCTGACACCATTTCCATTTTCAATAAGCCATTTTCTTTTCCTCAAGAGTTTTCAAAAAAAGAAAAAAAGGACTGTGAAGGGTTATGTGCAAGTATAGCTGACGTTGGAAAATAGAAACAGAAGTAATGAGAATTGAGAATCAGGTAAAACTTCATCTTCCAAATTAGGAGAACAGGCTTCTGAGTAATTCACGTAGTTACTCTGCAAACTTTACAGGTGGAAGCCCTCACATCTCTGCGATTTCACTTGTCAACATCTTTTAACATCTGTTTATATTGAGATGGCCACCATGTAGAATGTGGAACAATATAGCTCTAAGTTTAAAACCTTTCATGAAGGACTTCCATGGTGGTCATGTGGTTAAGACTTTTGTCTTACAATGCAGGGAGAGTGCGTTCAGTCCCTGGTTGGGGAACTAAGATTCCTCATGACCAAAAAACAAAACAAAAACAGATTATAGACAACAAAAATAATGTTGTAACAAATTCAACAAATACTTTAAAAATGGTCCCCATTAAAAAAAAAAGAAACCTTTTTAAAAATGTTAAAACGTTTCATGAGCATCAGAGTTCTCACCTGCGACTTAGAAATAATATAATGGTGTCATGGTGTTATTATAGGTCTAAGTGGGATAACATCTACTTTTTTTTAAAGCACCCAAAATAGCAGTCAGCACACATTAGGGACTCAAAAGGACCCTGAGCCCCTAATTTTGTACCCTGTCTCCTTACTCGTCCCTTTCCTACTCCTTTATTGGCTTTCTCAAAGAAGAATTTTGACTCTGGATTTAGCAGTTTTATCATTCTTTGATGTGACAAACCTTGTTTGAAGTTTAAATCCATTTAACAAATGTTGCAGTAACATGGATGGACCTGGAGGGTGTGTTTTGCTAAGTGAAATAAGTCAGAGAAAGACAAATACTGTTTCACTTATATGTGGAATCTAAAAAATAAGACAAACGAATATTATAATGCAGAAACCAACCCACAGATACAGAGAACAAACTAGTGGTTCTGATTGAGGAAAGTGGTGGGGGGAGGCGCAAGAGGGGGGGCGGAGATTAAGAGGTATGAAGTACTGGGTATAAAATGAGTAAGATATAAGGATGTATAGCAAGGAAAAATATGACCAATATTTTATAATATCTTTATACAGAGTATAAACTATAAACATAGTGAATCCCTATGTTGTGAACCTGAAACTAATATCATAAGTCACCTCCGTGCTTGCTTGGTCATTCAGTTGTGTCTGACTCTTTGCGACCCCGTGGACTGCAGCCCACCAGGCTACTCCATCCGTGGGGATTCTCCAGGAAAGAATACTGGAGTGGGTTGCCATGTACTCCTCCAGGGGATCTTCCCAACCTGGGATCAAATCCAGGTCTCCCACACTGCAGGCAGATTCTTCACCATCTGAGCCACCAGGGAAGCCCAAGAATACTGGAGTGGGCAGCCTGTCCCTTCTCCAGGGGATCTTCCCAACCCAGGAATCGAACTGAGTCTCCTGCATTGCAGGCGGATTCCTTACCAGCTGAGTTACCAACTCTACTTCAAAAATAAAAAAATCCATTTAACACATATATGCTGAGCACCTACTATGTGCCAGGAGATGGAGTTTTCTGTGAACAAGAAACAATCCCCTGAGAAATCTACTCTTTAAGTAAGTGTTTTGGCTTTGAGGATATAGCACTATTTGCTCAGTCTTTTATGTTCATCATGCATAGTCAAAAGGATCAAGAGTACTATGTTGATTTTCTTGTGTAATTCTGGGATGGTGTTTAAAATGAGCTTTGGAATATATGACTTTTTAATCATAATTTTGCTATTTAACAACTGTGTAATCTTGGGTGGAGTTACTTATCTGAACCACTATTTGCTCATCTGTAAGACAAGGATACAGTTGCTAACTTATAGCATCATTTTCAGTATTAAATGAGATAGAATGCATAAAGTATTAGACTGTGTGCTTAGCATATAGTAGATACAAATATGGTAGATATTATAATTATTGCCTACTGGATACTAACTTAGAAAATTCTAATTCTAATAGATTATTTGCATATATACACATGCAGATACACTCAACTATTCCTTTATTTTCTACACAAATATTTATTGAGCTTCTCCAATATGAAAGGCATACAGTAGTGACCTAAGGCAAATGCTTTCCCACCTGTCTCTGTCCTTACGGAGATTACTGTTTATAGGGAAGATGCCTATTAACCAAATTATCATGCCCATAAATGCACAGGTGAACCCGTGGTGAGCATCAGAGATGAGAGGTCACACAATAGGAACTTGATTTAGTCAGAAAAATGAACAAAACCCCTGTTGTAGAAGTGATGATTGAGCTGAAATCTCAGGGAGAAGTTAACTGGATATTTGAGCAGGGATATGTGTTCCAGGAAGAAAGAGCTCTGGGTGCAGACTGGGGCAGAGGAGCACATCAGGCAAGACAAACTTAAAAGCCACTGTGGCCAGAACAGGGAGGGCAAGGCAGAGCATGATATTAGATGAAGTGAACAGATGGTCTGACCATGCCCTAGACATCGAAGAAAGGGCAACATTTATTCAATCATTCCTTTACAGGGCATCATTTATCCAGTTATGTTTTGACATATACAACATTGGGAGCATGTAGAGATGGTCCCTACTCAGAAAATTTACTGATTACTGAGTAAATTGAAGCATTAAAGACTGTGATTACTTACAGCACAAGATGGAAAAAGATATCATCTGACAGGTAGGGGCAAAGGGCTGTAAGAATTCAGAGAACTGAGAAATTGTTGAGACCTTCCTAGAATTCTTGCTGGAAATGAATGAAGATTCCCCCACCCCACCCCACCCCTGAGAAATTGTTGAGACCTTCCTAGAATTCTTGCTGGAAATGAATGAAGATTCCCCCACCCCACCCCACCCCACCCCAAGAAGTACTGTTTGATTCTGATGAAAACAAGGGGGACAAAATCCATGATCACAGAAGTGGGAAAGGGAGCAGTCACAGATACCAGTGAATAGTTTAATGTGGCTGAAATACTTGAGCAAAATAACGGAAGGTGAGCTGGAAGGAACCAGATCAAGAGGAGTTTTGAATGCATGACTGAAGACATGTGGTTTTTATATGACAGGGAAAGCCAGATGAATGACCTAACCAGAATCATAGTCTAAAAAGATCAACCTGGCATTGTGAAGGGTGAGCTGAACAGGGGGAGAGCCTGATACTTGGGAGAGCAGCCAGCAAACAATGACAACTATGCCTGTTTGTCTGGAGTATGCGAGCTGAGCAAGGATAAAAGAGGCACAAGAGGAGAAAGGTGAAGTGTATTCATTTGCTGGGCTTCCGTGACAAGTGCCACAAACTGGGTGGTGCTTTCAACAGAAATTTATTGTCTCCCGGTTCTGAAAACTAGACATTTGAAATCAGGATGTCAGCAGGGCCACATTCCTTCAAGCCTGTAAGATCCTTCCTTGTTTATTCCTAGCTTCTGATAGTTTGCTGGCCAACTCTGACCTCAAGCTGCCATAAATCCACCCTCTGCCTTCTCCCCGTGGTCTCCCCGTGTCTCAGTCTCTGCAAGCTAGCTGTCTCCGTAAGGGGATGGCAGTCATGTTGGATTAGGGACCCTCTCTACTACAGTATGTTTAATCTCCTCTTCAATGACCATATTTCCAAACCAGGCCCTCTTCTGAGGTATCAGGGGGAGGGCTTCAACCTATCTTTGCTAGGGAGTGGGAGGTGCACAATGCAACTCATAAAACTAGGCTGGAAGTCTTACTGGATAGAAAGACAGAGGGAGCAGGCGAAGATGAAACTCCAAATGTGACTGCGCTGGCTTCCCTGGCTGCCCTGCCCTGTACTTGGATGTTGCAGGAAGCTACCGTTACTGTGATGAGACGGCAACCCTCTAAGGGCTCCAGGGCTCCGTGCCCCGCACCCCTGACAGTGCTGGCTCCTCATCCAACTCCCACAGCTATGGAGGAACTGTTTTCAGAGGAAACGTCGGGGCAAGTTTTCACCTTACTAGACTTAACCAAGCCTAGTACTGTCTGAGAGATAAAAAGCCTGGTTTTCTGACGTTTTGTAACACTTCACACTATAACCACTAGATGGCAATCTTCACACATTTTCACGTTTTTTTCTTTTTTTCCCCCAGAAGCAGGAAACAGAGGTTAGCCCTTGAAATAGTTAGGGAGGAGTCCTGTTTCATGTGATTCCCTCATAGATTTAAGTGTATGGAAATCTGAAAAAGTGGAAGGAAGACTGTCTCTCACAATAGTCCTAATCAGATTGAGCACTGTTCATACCTTTTAGTCGCATAGTAAATAACATTTATAAATATTCATGGGCTTGTTGCATTCAACCAGGGGGAAAACAAGGACCATTAACAGCAGACGGTCATATAACTGATGCCCAAACATCTCTGGTATATCAAAGAGGAGACTCTTATTCCGTGTTATCTGGTTACTTGCTCATTAGCAAGGGTCGGGTGGGGGGTGGGAACTTGCTGGAATGTTTTCACTGTATCAGAATTCACGCTTATGTCGTTTATATTAACCAGAGAGCCATAGAGAGGCAGCTTTAGCTTTGAGACGATATGGAGAGGGGAGGAAAAGATTAGAGAATTGTAGATCTCCAGCCTGCGCACCTAGCAACCCGACTTGGAATGCTGTTTAAAGAAAATAGTTATTGTTGTTTCTTTAAAGATCTGTTTTAAGTTCAGGCTAATGGTTTGTGTATGCCATCTTCATGTTTTCTCATTGAAATCTAGAAGCTGAGTTGGACAAAAGGAATAACATAAAATTGTAGGTGCTGGTTAATAAGGCACACTGCAAAACAGAAAATTCCAGAATCTTATATTTCTCAAGTTTTCCCCCCAAAGTCTTCAGTTCTATAACATGTAAGTATTATATAAAAGAACATTTATGTTGGAATTATAAGATGCGTCTGCTTTTTTGGAGATAGGTCCAAAAAGTAAGCTTGTACTTTTTATTTATCAAATATTTTTCTTCTATATGCATAGTCTGTACTCAGGCAAGGAGGAGGAAACATTTGTTCAGCTAGGTGAATTTGTTCTGGTAAGAGAAGGTGAGGCCTTTCTGAGGCTGGCCTTCCTTTCTTCATGCACAATTCCACCACATTATAAAAGGACACACGTACAGCTTTGTGTTTCTTTAGGTTTTCAGAAAGCGCTACCTGGATAGGTTCCATCTGACCTTATGCTTGGCTTAAATATTAAGCTTAATTACTTAGGCTATTTCAAGGGAAGCACTCAGCTGTCAAGGTGGTTCTTGACTTACACAGGTTTTCAATTTAAAGCAATCTACAGTCATTAACTCTCCCTGCCTCACCATAACTTTCATCAGGTTGAAAAGCAGACGGTGACATTCTAAATTGAAAAAGGAAGGAGCAGGGATGAGGGTGGTGCAGGAGGCGGTTGCGATGTGACCGAGTTGTTAACAGCAAAAGAGACTGAGTTAAAACTCACCCCTCCCCCACTCCTGTAAATTGACAGGCACTGAAGCTCCTTGATGTGACTTGTGTGATCTCTTTGGCTTTCAACATATAGATGACTAACCTGTTCCTCATCCCCCAAAAAAATTAAGAGGGAAGAGTGGGTCTGCTATGAGAAAGCTCCACTTTCTCAGTGAACAAATATTACTAGGTAATATCTAGGTTTCACACTAGATGCTCGTTTTGGTGGTCAGGGATGGAGAGCCCACACTGGAGGCCAGTGAGTTCATTGTCCTCCTCAGGGTCCCAGGAGCCAGATCTTCAGCTAGTTAGGTCGGGATTCCTCTAAATGTGCCTGCCTGAGAACCACAGCATTCTCAGAGCAGGACATACTGCATGGCTCAGCCTTAAGGGCAATAAACAGGCTTCAGAGAAATTAAGTGATTTGCTGAAAGTCACTCAGTTGGTTCATGGGAGAGTCAGGACAAATATGACAACTACCGTCCATTCAGTACATACCATATGTCAGACAATTTTATGAACATTATCTCTGTTCCTTATACCAAGCTGAATCATCAAATATTCTTTTCTCCAGTTAGCAGAGGTGGAAACTCAGAGAGGTTAAGTAATTGGTTTTCATGAGGTCTTGATGTACATCTTATGTGGGGGTATTTTGACACAGAGGTTGTTTTTATATTTGCACCTCTACAGTGCTCTTAAACCATTTACACTTCAGCTTAAAATATCACCTAATAACGAGCTTCACAAACATCCTCACTCCACCCCTGCTCATCCTTACTGGATGAGGTTCAGGACTGGGGGTTGCCAAGGATGGGTAAGATCAAGAATGAATTAAATAAAGGTTGGGTTGGAGTTAGGGGCCAGGAATGGGGTGAGGGCAAGGATTGAGTAAATTCAGGGATGGGGTGAGGGTCAAATTGAAGGTGAGGTCATGGATGGAATTGGGCAAAGTTTCCTAATGTGTACTTTCTTAAATATTAATTTAAAAAAATCACTGAAAAGTGTAATGATTTACTTTTAGACTGTCTCAAAATTTATTTTTCCTTTTCCCTACCTTCCATAATTGAGGTTTCTGGATTTTGAAGTAGAACTCCCTTCACTGCAATGTTCCACCTCGTGCTTAGTATGTTATTTGTTTCCCTAAACAAATAACAATAACACAAGGAGACCCATAGATTCAGAGGCAGAGAACCTTGTAAAAACCCAGCAAGCTGTGCCTTCAGCTGAGGCTCACAGGTTCAGTAACTTCCCCAAGGATGTGAAATTGTCTCCTCAGAGTAATGATAGAGCAAGGGTGGTCTGCCTCCCAAGACCAAGTTCATTGCAGTCCTGGTTGTCCTACCGCCTCCTCTGTAATCCGGGCAAGGAACAGTCTCCCTTCCTGCAGGCTGGACCTTGTGCAGCAGCTGCACATTCTAGGTGGTCAGGCTGCAGCAGCTTTCTTTTAGCTGGCCCCTTCCCCACCTTCACTTGCCATGAGGGGCTGTTCTAGACAGTTTTTACCTCCCAGACCCACTCTCCACCTCTCCCCATCCCAATCTGTGCCATGGGGAGGCTTATGGACCACAATGACTGGTTTCCTTGGCTTAAGGCAGTCGTAGAAGAGGCTGGGGTGGTGGGAGCGGGGCGGAGACTAAGGTCAGGTATTTACTTCCTGGCCCTCTCTCAGCCAGGTCACTGTGGCATGTCTATGCCCCTAACCAAAGGCTCCAGCTCCTATTTTAATACCCTCTCCTGAAGTGAAAGGCAAAGGAAAAGGGGGAAAATATACACATCTGAATGCAGAATTCCAAAGAATAAAAAGGAGAGATAAGAAAGTCTTCCTAAGTGAACAATGCAAAAATTTAGTTGAAAACAATAGAATGGGAAAGACTAGAGATCTCTTCAAGAAAATCAGAGATACCAGGGGAACATTTCATGCAAAGATGGGCACAATAAAGGACAGAAATGGTATGGACCTAACAGAAGCAGAAGATATTAAGAAGAGGTGGCAAGAATACACAGAAGAACTGTACAAAAAAGATCTTAGTGACCTGGATAGCCATGATGGTGTGATCACTCACCTAGAGCCAGACATCCTGGAAGTCTGGAGTGTGAAGTTAAATAAATCTTAGGAAGCATCACTGCAAAGCTAGTTGAGGTGACGGAATTCTAATTATTTCAAATCCTAAAAGACAATGCTGTGAAAGTGCTGCACTCAGCATGCCAGCAAATTTGGAAAACTCAGCAGTGGCCACAGGACTGGAAAAGGTCAGTTTTCATTCCAGTCCCAAAGAAAGGCAATGCCAAAGAATGTTCAAACTACTGCACAATTGCACTCATTTCACATGCTAACAAGGTCATGCTCAAAATCCTTCAAACTAGGCTTTAACAGTACATGATCTAAGAACTTCCAGATGTACAAGCTAGATTTAGAAAAGGCAGAGGAACCAAAGATCAAATTGCCAACATCTATTGGATCATCGAAAAAGCAAGAGAATTCCAGAAAAACATCTACTTCTGCTTCATTGACTATGCTAAAGACTTTGACTGTGTAGATCACAACCAACTGTGGAAAATTCTTAAAGAGATGGGAATACCAGACCATCTTACCTGCCTTCTGAGAAACCTGTATGCAGGTCAAAAAAACAACAGTTAGAACGAGACATGGAACAACAGACTGGTTCCAAATTGGGAAAGGAGTATGTCAAGGCTATGTATTTTCACCCTGCTTACTTACCTTATATGCTGAGTACATCATGTGAAATGCTGGGCTGGATGAATCACAAGCTGGAATCAAGATTGTCAGGAGAAATATCAATAACCTCGGTGCAGATGGCACCAGCCTTATGGCAGAAATCAAAGAGGAAGTCAAGATCCTCTTGATGAGGGTGAAAGAGGAGAGTTAAGCTGGCTTAAAACTCAACACCCAAAAAATGAAGATCATTGCATCCAGTCCCATCACTTCATGGCAAATAGATAGGGAAACAGTGGAAACAGTGATAGACTTTTTTTTTTCTTTTGCTGTAAAATCACTGTGGATGGTGACTATAGGCATGAAATTAAAAGATGCTTACTCTTTGGAAGAAAAGCTATGACAAACCTAGACAGCATATTAAAAAGCAAAGACATTACTTTTCTGACAAAGGTCCATATAGTCAAAGCTATGGTTTGTCCAGTAGCCATGTATGGATGTAAAGAAGATTGAGCACTAAAGAACTTGTGCTTTTGAACTGTGCTTTTGGAGAAGACTCTTGAGAGTCCCTTGGACTGCAAGGAGATCAAACCAGCCCATCCTAAAGGAAATCAGTCCTGAATATTCATTGGAAAGAATGATGCTGGAGCTGAAGCACAAATACTTTGGCCACCTGATGCAAAGAACTGACTCATTGGAGAAGACCCTGTTGATGACAGAGGATGAGATAGTTGAATGGCATCACCGACTCAATGGACATGAGTTTGAGCAAACTCCTGGAGATGGTGAAGGACAGGGAAACCTAGCGTGCTACAGTCCATGGGTTGCAAAGAGTCAGATATAACTGGGTGACTGAACAACAAAGGCAGTGGTGGAAGATGCCAGGGCAGGAGGAGACTAAGGTCAGGTGTTTACTTCCTTGCCCTCTCTCAACCAGGTCACTGCGGCACGTTTACATCCCTAACCAAAGGCTCCAGCTCCTATTTGAATGCCTTTTTCTGTGCCTCCCTGGGTTCTAGGAGTGGCTCTCTGCATATTTCCCTTTGAGCTAAGGTGTGCTTCCTTAGATTAGGTAATGTCTCCTTCACTTTACCTGCCCTGAGATATTGCAGTATTTCTGTTGTTTCCTTAGATCACACCTCTGTAAAGAGTTTCTTAAAAATTCTCCTCAGGCTGTTTGAGTGTGCTATCCATTCTCCACTCAAACTGTTTCCTCTTCCTTCTTAACTATTTCCAGTTGATTAAAAGTCATATTATTCCACCCAATATTTAAAGGAGACTTGTAAAAAGAGGTATCATCATAAATCTTAATAATTCCTTGAAAAGCTTTAGGAGTTTGCTAAGCTGTGACCTGCTACCTTCCTTTTCCTCGTTTGTAAATAACAGATTTCATAAAACCTGGGACTCTTAAATTCAGTGGCTCAAAAAAAAAATTACATTTTTTGGGGGATGAGTCAGAGTAAAATGAAGGAAATTTCAAGTCTGCCATAGTTTTTTCCTGTGGAATTGATCGACAATGAGTCTACTGTGGGCAGAGGCACAGCTGTGCTAGAAGGATCATGAAGAAACATCTGAGGTCAATTTAAAATTCCTCTCTGAAAATTGCTGGAGTCTCATCTGCAGAATTGGACCTGCAATTTTCTAGGTGACTCTGGGGAGCAGATAAAGCCCTAGAATTTAAAAAAAAAAGTTTATTCTCCAGAGAGATTGCAGCTAGACAGCTCTAGGGTTGCCAAGAGATGAAGGGTGAATAGATCAAGGTTCTCACAGGGGATCAAGTATTAATGTCCAACTGTGAGAAACAGGTGGAAGAAAGCATGCTAGGTGACCATATATTGCTATTACTCGTTTGCCAAATGAGAATTTTTTTTTTTTCAGAGTGAAATTGTTTAATGACTTTGCGGTAACAGACGTGGACTAGGACTGTACCTGGCAAATGGGAGGTCAGAGGAATGTCTTTCTCAAGAGCACTTGTTGGGAAAGGTACCTCCAGAACACACTTGCTTCTGCTGTGCTGAGCTCTGCACNCTGTAGAAGTGAAAGTGTGAAGCATGCAATGTGGTATGATATACAGCAGCAGTCCCCAACATTTGGTTCTAAGGCCTGATGATCTGAGGTGGAGCTGGTGTAATAATAATAGGAATAAAGTGCACAATAAATGTAATGCTCCTGAATCATCCCCAAACCATCCCCCTACATAGGTCCATGGAAAAATTATCTCCCATGAAATAGGTCCCTGGTGCCAAAAAGGTTGGGAACCACTGCATTAAACTACTACTTTATTAACTCCTTACAAAAAGTTACTGAAGGGATGAAGAAGCTGAGATGGGTTCGGGATTTTTCCATGGCAGGCTATAGGCAGGTACATGGCAGGTACAGGCAGGCTTCAAATATGGTTTGATTTCAAATCCAGTCCTACTTTCTTCACACTAATAGCCCAGAGTATATGATGTTTGAGGCATAAGGGATGGCAAGGAAAGTGCTAACAAGCATGCTTCCTTCTTCTGACTTTTTCTTAGAGAAAGCTAACCTCCTCCCCCCCTCAAAACAGCAGGTGGAGACCCAAGGATTGAGTGAAAGAAAATACAGCAGGCAGAGGGCCTTCACAGAGGAGACCAAGCCCAGCCAATGAGCTGAACATGGATTTCACTGAACTACATTGTACATTTAGGTTCTGTGAGGGTGACATCCTGAAATTCTGTCCTAGATTCTTCAAGACAAACCTGCCAGTCAGTGCCCAAGGATATGCTCTCCTGTTTAAATGCACACAGGTGAGCATCCCTGCAAAGCAGCTTGTTACTGAACAGACCAGAATAGGCCTTACTTCAGACCACCATCATGAGAAAGAAGTGCTCGCTCTGTGTCCTTAACATTCCCCGGGGCTAGAGGTGGCCCCCCTAACTCTACACCCACATGGATGTTATCGGAATCTTCCTTTATTTCCGTCTCCGAAGTTCCAATTAAGGGTACATGTCTCTTCCATTCTCCTCATTCCTACCTCTTACCCCCTTCAAATTCAGCTGACCTGGAAAGCCAGCCCAGGGTTGTCTTAATAACCATAACTTGATCCTGACATCAGCCTCTTATCCAGTTGCTTCCAGCTCACTACATCCAGAGTTTTCCAAATGCCTCTCCCCTGAATTTGTTCCATTAAAAAACCATGGTTGAAAAATGATGTGGTATATTTTGCATGCATCATCTGAACAGTTCATGGCTTTTCTGATTTTTTGTTCTTCAAAACCTGTCCTCTTTTTTGTCCACACTTAATTTGGTTTTGTTTGAAATTTCTGATAAATCCATATAGCCCTGGAACAGTTATGATGAAATCTCATCATCCTTAAGGATGTAAGTTACTTTGTGGTTATCACATTTGGGTATAGGCTCACTATTTTACAAGCATTGTCTGCCTTAATTTTCGCCACAGTCCTATGAAGTAGACATTTTCACCCCAATTTGCAAAAGCTGAGGCTCGGAATGGACAAGTAACATGTTTAATATCACTTAAGTGGTAGTGTTCAAACCTAGAACTGTCTCCAAAGCCCATGCTTTCAACCATTATGCTTTATAGTAAATATATTAAGCATTCTCATCTCAGGATGACATAAAGAAAGACCATGATTACTATATCAAAGCTGGGAGGGTGCTTGCAGATGATTATATCCAAATACCTGTACTGATGACTAGAAGCAGGTAGGATGGGAGAAGGTGTAAAACAGGTGGTTGGTTGTCTACTTATCATCCATTCTCCTGAATTGTTCTTCCTAAGGGAACCCCGCTTTCATTTAGGTCTTCTCTATGGGACCATGTATTGCCAGGGAAGCTGCCCCCTTATTAGTCCTAGGGGATGAGTCATGGCTGGCTTACCTATCATGGTAATCTCATTCTCCTCACCATTGATTGGCTTAAACATGGACAGATGACAGAATTTTTGGCCAATGAATATGAGGAAATCTACTGGAGAGTTTCTGGGAAGGTTTCCACACTTCTAGAAAGAGCTGTAGGAAGATATCTAAAGATATCTATGAACCCCAGGAAATTCTCCTGATGGAAGGAGAGGAAGTATTAATACTTCTATTTAATATGTCATGTTTTCTTTTTTTACTAGGTCTTTCCATAAATGTTCTCTTATTCTCAGAAAAAAATGACAAGTTATGTTTTATTATATCCATTCATGAATGAAGAAATTCAGACCTAGGAATAGTTAAGTCACTCAGTTATTAATTGGTAGAGCCAGTAGGCAAGTCCTGAAGTGTACGGCTTCAAATCTATTATGTTTTGTGTTAGATATTTCACACTGGAATTAGATTTATGTTAGTGCTTATGAGTCTATGTATGTTTCCCTCTATGTGTCCAGGTGGAGTTAGGTTCTGAGTCTGAAGAGCCCTGTACCCTGAGAGGCTTGTCCTGAGAGCCAGATGGTCCATCCAGCTGATGTCTTGGTCTCATGGTCCTCTGAAATGGCACACCTAGAGATGTGTTTGTGATCAGAGAGGTGCAAATCATTCCATATCGCTGGCTTTGGGGACATGATGGAGGCTCCCTTCGTCTTATCTAATGTCTTGCTGTCAGCTTTGATCACTTGGAGATTTTGGCTTGAATTAACCGTGGTCACAACAAGTGGTAGGAAATGCCAAATGATTGTTGCTTTGTACAATTTAAGTGATTAGCTTGTTTATTTTCTTGGTTGAATTAATTCAGCTGACCAAGCCAAGTTTTATTTCTTTTAGCTTTTTCTAAAATGAAAATATCTCCAAATAAATATAAAAATTCTTGCCTTACAGGGTTGTAGTGAGAACCAATCAGTTAATGTCCTAAATACAGTTTTTGTTACATGATAAGAAACAGCATGCTAGTTTTCTAATTCCTTAGTTTCCTGCTTCCTTCCTTTAAATCTTTACTCAATGACTGTCTTCTCAATAAGCTATGAGATTATAAAGAGAGATAGAAGAGGGCAGCAGAGGATGAGATAGATAGCATCACTGATTCAATGGACATGAATTTGAGCAAACTCTGGGAGATAATAAAGGACAGAGAAGCCTAGTGTGCTGCAGTCCATGGGGTTACAAAGAGTCGGACACAATTTAGCGGCTGAACAACAACAATGATTCGATTGCATCAGGGATCGTGGGAAGGCTCCCATGAAGGGAGGTTTCAGCTGAGAGTTTATAATGAGAAGGCATTAGCTGGGTTGATGTTGAGAGGGTGGGGGGAGGAAGAGTAATTAGGAAGAAGGATGCAACAGCATGTGCCAAGACCTTAAGGCAGGAAAGCCACTGATGTATCTCCATCTGAAATGACCATCTTGGTGAGGCTGTAATGAGCCAGGAGGCTGAGGAAATGGGCAGGGTCAAGTCCTTCAGGGCATTGCAGGGCCTGTTCAGCATTTCAGATTGTTCCCTAATTAACATGGAAGCCACTGCAGGCTTGAGGAGGAACGGGATCTGCCTTGTGGACAACAAATTGGAGAAAGGTAGGCATGAAAACAGAGACTAGTGAGGAGACGTTTGCAGTGGTCCAGGTGAGCAATGATGGCTTGGACTAGAGTGATGACAATGGAGATGGCAATAAATGGGCAGATTTGAGACATTTTATAGAAGTAAAAGATATGGCTTGTTGATGGATGCAGAAGGTAAGATGTGGGAGGCATTAAGGATCCCTGCCAGTTTTTGGAATGAGAAACTCGATGGACAGAGATGCCATTACCCAAGATGTGAAACACAGGAAGAAAAGTGGATTTAGGACAGAAGATCAGGGTTCTGTTTTGACAAATTAAATGTGAGATGCGTGTAAGATATTCAAGTGGAGGTGTCAAACAGGAAGGTAGATACATGGTTCTAGAGCTCAGAAGAAGAATCATTGTTGAAATACAAATTCGACAGTTGTTGGTGAAGAGAGGCTCTTGGGAGTCATCATTATCAGCTTTAGATTTTTTAAAAATGTCAGGCTGACCTTGTACTGTTTTATTTGCCTTCTCTTTTAAATATTGGAGTCTGGCTCTTATTACACCTTTTAGTCTCCTATCTTAATTATCCAATCTCTGACTCACTTTGCAGTTTTCTTTCTAATTATATCATAAAGGCAGAGTGTTATGATAGAAAGATGTATTTTCTGGTTATTTGTGTGCCTTGGGCAAATCACTTAGGATCTCTGGATATTAGCTTCCTATACATAAAAGAAGTGAGTTGATTGTTTTCAGTTAAAAAATATCTAGGATTATCTAAGAATTACCTGGTTATGTCTGTTTCTCTAAGCAGGATCCATCACTGGACCCCTGGGAAATTAGATCATGAGGATATTTTGCAATCCACATCATGACCAGCGATTAACAGTTAAACCAAACACTGTTAATGTCAGTCTCAGATACTATTATTGTAATTCAGAATAGCATTTCTCCTGCATTTGTGGATATCACATGTAGGGAAAAGACAGAAATTCAGACATTTACTCATCAAAGTAGCATCACAGTTAAATCCAAGACAAACTTGTTTTACTGAAAATTCCTGTTGGATAGTCATCCTTCAAGTGGAATTAGGAGTAATCTAAACATCATGGTCCCTGGAGAAGAAAATGACAGCCCACCTAGTATTCTTGCCTGGGAAATCCCATGGACACAGGAGCCTGGTGGGCTATGGTCCATGGAGTCACAAAGAGTTGTACACGACTTAGCAACTAAACAGCAGCTGCAAATATCATGGTGAATGCTAGGAGATGTAATAGCTTGGATTACTGGCCACTGACACATATGACAGCATTTCCTAATATTCTTCAAGGTGAAGCTATACAAAGCATCAACATCATCAGCAGTTTTCCCCTTACCTCAGTGACAGCAAAACTTCTCTTGCCACAGGGAACCACCTTATACCACTTGTCATGTAGCACATCCATAAACCCGTGTGACTTGTATTGACTGATTAGCTCGGATATATTGGAGGTAAAAGGAGAGTTGGGAGGGAGACCAATGCCGTACCCTAGAAGAAAATACAATCTCAGATGAGTGTTTCACTTAAGAGTTTCCTGAGATGTTGCCACCATCTCAGGAAGATGTTGTCTTTGACCTGGTAACAAAGACATAATAAGCTTTCACCATCTTTCCCTCAAAGGACTCAGAAATGTCCTAGGTATGATTACTATGGATCTGCTGCTTCTCTGAGTAAAAGAGATGAGTCCAGAAAGGAGAGAAATGATTTATGTACTGTGTAGTAGGGACACATTGTATTCCAAGGCTTTCTGTCCTTCCCTTCAAGGTATTTTTCAGAAGCCATCTTTCAGGTCTTTACTAGGGCTAGGATTCCCTATCTACTTCTCCCAGAAACCCTCATGTGGACCTTAAAAACACAAAAAATTTGTTAAATTACAATCCCTGGTCTAAGAAATACTCTTATCATTGGTCATGCATAACCCTCTTTTACTTTTATTTTTAATAACAGAATGAGGCCTTGTGAATGTACAGTATAGTGTAAATACTAAAACATCAACAAAAACTTGTCAAAAAAAAAGGAGTCTAGTAAAACCAAGTGTTGAAGCAAATGTAGATCAGTAGGATCACTTATTCATTGCTTGTGGGAATGCAAATTGATGTACCCACTTTGGAAAACTGTTTGCTATTACTTTATATAGCTGAAGATTTATATGCTCTAAGACAAACAACTTTAAGTACATTCCTAAAGAACTCCTCCACAACTAGACCAGGAGATAGGTTTAAGAATGTTCTTAGAGGCATTTTTTATAACAGCAAAAATTGGAAACAACCGAAATGTTAACAAGAAAATGGGTAAATAAATGTGAAATATTTACACAATGGAATGTTTTATAGTGTGATACATATGAATGATATGGAATAATATGGATGACTCTTAGCAACACTAAGTAAAAAGATCAGTCTCAGAAGATTGCAGCATGAATCCATTGTGCAAATGCAAAAACATTAAAAATAAACCAGTATATTTTTAGGAATTCATACATATGTGATAGAAGTATATTTAGAAAAAAATCAAGAAAATGATAAACCAAATATCTGGGACAACAGTTATTCAAGGCAAGAGAGGCAGGGGAAAGGATGAAGGAGGAGCTTGAAGAAGATGTAATTTGTTGTCAGAGTTTTAATTCATTAGCTTTGACTCTGTATCTTCACTTGGTCTGGGGCTTTACTTGGTTTCCAAACTGTTACTTCACTGTTAATCTCTTTGACAAGCCATGTGGAAGAGCTAATTACCTACATTTTGTGTTTAACTATTGGATTGTATAGTCAAAAAAAGATGTATTGCTGTCAAGATGATTGAGGGAGACAAACTGAAAATATAGCTAGCTCTTTTTTCCACAAGCAAAGACAAAAGCTGTCAAGAATATAGAGAGGTAGAGCAGGAACTAACACATTGTAAAGCAGTGATGCTCCAGTAAAAATTAATAGAATAATTTAAAAATGAAGGCAAAGAAACCAAGAAACAAAAAACATATGCACATAACTTTATATAAATAGATAGTCAGCAAGGACCTACTGTTTAGCATGGGGAACTCTACTCAGTACTCTGTAATAACCTACATGGGAAAAGAATATGAAAAATAATAGATATATTTATCCATATAACTAAATCACTTTGCTATATACTTGAAATTAATACAATATTGTAAATCAACTATAATATAAAATTTTTTAAATGTTAAAAACATCCAAAGATACTTCATGGAAACAAATGCTTGCTATCATATTTCCATCTTACAATTTATTTCCAAGGACATTAGCTTTTGTTCTTTTTTGAAATTATAGATACACAAGCCCTTTTTTAAAAATTGATTTATTTTTCACTGAAGGATAGTTGCTTTACAGAATTTTGTTGTTTTCTGTCAAAACTCAACATGAATCAGCCATAGGTATACATATATCCCCTCCCTTTTGAAACTCCCTCCCATAACCCTCCCCATCCCACCCCTCTATGCTGATACAGAGCCCCTGTTTGAGTTTCCTGAGCCATACAAAAAATTCCTGTTGGCTATCTATTTTATATACGGTAATGTAAACTTCCTTGTTACTCTTTCCGTACATCTCACCCTCTCCCCCCACTCCATAAGTCTATTCTCTATGTCTGTTTCTCCATCGTTGCCTTGTAAATAAATTCTTCAGTACCATTTTTCTAGATTCTGTATATATGCATTAGAATACAATGTTTATCTTTCTTTTTCTGACTTACTTAACTCTCTATAATAGGTTCTAGGTTCATCCATCTCATCAGAACTGACTCAAATGCATTCTTTTTATGGCTGAGTAATATTCCACTGTGTATATGTACCAAAACTTCTTTATCCATTCATCTGTCTGTGGACATCTAGGTTGCTTCCATGTTCTAGCTATTGTAAATAGTGCTGCAATGAACAATGAGATACTTGTGTCTCCTTCAATTTTGATGTCCTCAGGATATATGCTTAGGAGTGGGATTGCTGGGTCATATGGTGGTTTTGAGGAATCTCTTCACCATCTTAGTTTTTTGAGGAATTTCCATACTATCTTCCATAGAGGCTGTATCAGTTTACATTCACACCAACAGTGCAAGAGCGTTCCCTTTTCTCCACACCCTCTCCAGCATTTATTGTTTGTAGACTTTTTGATGAGGGCCATTCCAACTGGTGTGAGGTGATACCTCATTGTAGTTTTGATTTGCATTTCTCTAATAATGAGCGATGTTGAACATCTTTTCATGTGTTTGTTAGCCAACTGTAAGTCTTGTTTGGAGCAATGTCTGTTTAGGTCTTTTTCCTACTTTTTGACTGGGTGGTTTGTTTTTCTGGTATTGAGTTGTATGAGCTGCTTGTATATTTTGGAAATTAATCCTCTGTCAGTTGTTTCATTTGCTATTATTAACCCCCATTCTGAGGGTTGTCTTTTCACCTTGCTTATAGTTTCCTTTGCTGTGAAAAAACTTTTAAGTTTAATCAGGTCCCACTTGTTTACTTTTGTTTTTATTTCCATTATTCTAGGAGGAGAATCATAGAGGATCTTGCTTTGATTTGTGTCATCGAGTGTTCTGCCTATGTTTTCCTCTAGAGTTTTATAGGTTCTGGTCTTACATTTAGGTCTTTAATCCATTTTGAGTTTATCTTTGAGTATGGTGTTAGGAAGTGTTCTAATTTCATTGTTTTACATGTATCTGTCCAGTTTTCCCAACACCATTTATGGAAGAGGCTGTCTTTGCCCCATTGTATATTCTTGCCTCCTTTGTCAAAATTAAGGTACCCATAGGTGCATAGGTTTATTTCCGGGCTTTCAATCTTGTTCCATTGGTCTATATGTCTGTTTTTGTGCCAGTACCATACTGTCTTGATGGCTATAGCTTTGTAGGATAATCTGAAGTCAGGAAGGTTGACTCCTCCAGCTCCATTCTTCTTTCTCAAGGCTGTTTTGGCTTGTCAGGGTCTTTTGTGTTTCCATATGAATTGTGAAATTTTTTGTTTTAGTTCTGTGAAAAATGTCTTGGTAATTTGATAGGGATTGCATTGAATCTGTAGATTGCTTTTGGTACTACGGTCATTTTCACAATATTGAGTCCTCCTACCCAGGAACGTGGAACATCTCTTCATCTGTTTATTTCGTTTTTTATTTCTGTCATCAGTGTCTTATAATTTTCTGTGTACAGTTCTTTTGTCTCCTTAGGAATAAATCCTAGATATTTAATTCCTTTTGTTTCAATGGTGAATGGGATTGATTCCTTAATTTCTCTTTCTGATTTTTCATTGTTAGTATATAGAAATGCAAGTGATTTCTGTGTATTGATTTTGTATCCTGAAACTTTGCTAAATTCACTGATGAGCTCTAGTAATTTTCTGACAGTATCTTTAGGGTTTTCTATGAATACCAGACCACCTGACCTGTCTCTTGAGAAACCTGTATGCAGGTCAGGAAGCAACAGCTAGAACTGGACATGGAACAACAAACTGGTTCCAAATAGGAAAAGGAGTGCATCAAGGCTGTATATTGTCACCCTACTTATTTAACTTATATGCAGAGTACATCATGAGAAACACTGGGCTGAAGGAAGCACAAGCTGGAATCAAGATTGCCGGGAGAAATATCAATAACCTCAGATATGTAGATGACACCACCCTTATGGCAGAAAGGGAAGAACTGAAGAGCCTCTTGATGAAAGTGAAAGATGAGATTGTAAAAGTTGGCTTAAAACTCCACATTCAGAAAACTAAGATCATGGCATCCGGTCCCATCACTTCATGGCAAATAGATGGGGAAGCACTGGAAACACTGACAGACTTTATTTTGGGGGGCTCCAAAATCACTCCAGATGGTGGCTGCAGCCATGAAATTAAAAGACACTTGCTCCTTGGAAGAAAA